CTGCCATGATGGATATGCGCCGACACATTGCGCAGTTGTCATATTTGGCGTATGGTAGAATCCTTCAGATTTAACAAAAACAAACAACTAAAATTGTCAAATTAAACTCGAGAACACGTGATTCAGAAAAAAAACCTCTAAATAGGGAAGATGTAGGCGGAATGAGCCATTTTCAATCATCACTAACTTGAGACTGGCCGAATGAAATTGATGGAATTTATTTTATTTTTTTCTTCCATTTGGAAGATATTTTTACAGGCTTGAAAGTGAGCTGTGTTCTTCCCAGTCAATCCCTCTCAATTCCTCAATAATATCTGGGAAATTATTGACTGAAAATTTACGAAATAATGCAAAAAGACCTGTTTTGTAGCTGACAAAATTCCTTAATCAACAATTCGTAAAAAATCGTTCATAACCCTTTTCCAAATCTCAACATAAATGACCTGGAATTTTAATAAATGACGAAGTAGAATTCATCAAAATATCGATACCCGTTGAAGTTGTCTGAGATATTTCCAGTTTTAAATTTGTAAAAAAAAGAATGAGTTCCACTTTCCATCACATAATATATATGGAAATATTATAAAAGAAGTTCAACTCCATAATGCAAAATATACATAGCTCTGTATGAAAACTTTATTGGAATGTTTATTGTAATAAAAAACTTATTAATTCAATAATTGCAAACCATTAGTTGAGGTGAACATAGTATAGATTTTGCGGCTCAATTCTGAACCAATTTTCCTCGACGTACACAATTCTCCAGGGCCTCTTCTGATCTGAAAAAAAAAAAACAAAAAAAAAAACAAAAAATTTACATTACTTGTAAAGCATTATTATCAAGGAGAAATTTTTTTTTACTATCAATCCTCACCGGAATATCTTTCAAAAGTCCTTTCCCTTTTTCGGCTGAATATTGTTCATACGACTGGAATAATAAAAGAGAAAAATGCCTTGAATAATTTTGCAAAATAAAGAGCAACCATGTATGTTTACTTGTTACCTTCATGAGCTGTGATGGGCTCGAATATGTTGTACAAATTGCCTCGGCAGTTGCTAATCCAGCATTATTAAATAAACAAAGTTGCCTCAACCATAGTCTTCTTAATCCAAAGCCATCACCATCCACTTTTATTGTATTTTTATTATCACCCATTGCATAAAAGTCAAAGTTTCCTTCGACATGAGGCTGTCTCATCGCAATTTTATATGGAATTTCAGCAATAGCTTTAGTATGTTGAAGAATCATTGAGCTCATGTCTTGTGAATTTTCAATCAATATAATATTACAATTAAGAGTGATCTGTGCTTCAACTAATGAACATTCAAAATCTTTTTTGGAAATTTTTGGTAATTCATCAATATTAGAATACGTTATCTCCAATTTTTTTTTTCCACTATCGTCTCTGTGATATGAAAAATATCCCTCCATCCTGTATATTATCAGTGATAATTTTTTATCTGTTATAATAGTTGTGATATCAGTGAGGCTTTCTTGAAATGATTGATTATAGATTTTTTTCACAGTTTTATCCCAATTCCATATAACCATAACATCTTGTTGACTTTCTTCTCTCATCATTGTATTAATTTCATTGTTGCGGTCAATTGTATTGACTTCAACGAATCTTATCCAATTCAAACAACTTGGAATAATCAGAGATATATTTTGCGTTTTGACATTAGCATTTTTAAGTAGTAGCTGTGATTCATGATAAAAATCAAATTCACTAAGTTCTTTATCAAAATCAACTTGAAGTAATTTCATACATTCCCCAGGTTGAATATTTCTTTGATATTTCTTGGCAACTATTTTTTCGACTTTTGCCCTCTTGTTAATCCATTTTTTATTCGATACTTGATCATCAACAAATTTAATGCCCTTGAAATCGTTTGTTGTTTCTTGTAACTCACTGGTCGAACTGTTCGATAATTGATTGGCAGTGGTAATATAATTAAAATCAACAGGAGGAAATTCTATTCCATCTTCTGAATAATAATCGCAATGATTTTTCATTTTCAAACAAGTTTGATGCAGTATTTCAAGGGAATAACCTAAAAAATTACTATTCTATGCTATTATTCTGTAGTAGTGGGGAGCCTGCTGCTGCTGCTGCTGCTGCTGCTGCTTCTCTCTACTTATGGGCGGTCATTTTGAATTCATTCAAATATAATGGAAAAAAAGAGAAATATCCATACCAAGAAATGGTCTCACCCTTGCCTAATGATAAATTTAATTTCAGACATATCCAATGGTCAATAATGTAACAATATCATTGTTAATTTCATGTAAATCTTAATAGTTATCAATAATATAAAAGTCACATTAATTTTTTTGTTAGGATGCCATATTGCAATAAAATAACAATAAAAAAAAAATAAGATGAATAATATTATGACCTTCGATCTCGATAATACCTTTATTCAGTACGATGCACAATACTTTTATCATCTACGAGATTACGTAAAAGTTTATCATGACCCATGAAGAAAAAAGTCAAATCACTATCTATCCTGACCGCAAGTGAAACAGTGCCTGGCACGAAAGAAGAAGAAACAATGCAAAAAAACCCTCAATTTAGTAGCTCGTTCGTAGTCAAATTTTTCTTATTTTCGAAACTTTGACATTTGATTTTATTGGGAGATTTTTCTTTCTCTTGTCAGTATAAACAAGTTAACAATACACAGATTAGTGATATGGAGAGATTAATAGTTTGTTGGATGAGTCAAAGACATTATGGATATTGACCCCATCGAACAAATATCTTTGCATTACCCATACAAATAGAATAAAGTCCAAATAATGTCTGTTTCAATTCAAGCATTCAAGCATTGTATAGCGATTGAATATTGAAAAAAATTAAATGCACAAAGAAGAAACATACGCTAAGATACATTCATTGACTCCAATAAATTATTTACAATGTTAAAATTATCAAACATATTATTGAATTAACAACAATTGATTACTTATTTGTAATTTCCTTTTTTTTTTGTTTCCTTATTAATGCAATATAGCGTATATTTATACACACAACAATATTGTGTATAATACTCTTTTTTCCAAGCCAAATTGATTCGTTTAATTTTCACTAACGATCACTTTCAAATAAGCAGTTGAAATAAGTTTTTATGGCTAATAGAATTTTCCATCCATAGATAGTATCTGCTGTGCCCTCCTGGCCCTCATCTTCGGTCCCCCTCGTTGGATCCACTTCATCGCGCGTAAATAACGTAAAAATAACTCGTGATTAAGATTATTTTCCCCATTCAATCAAGAAATGAGCATTCTCCAATGATTAAATAGAATATATGTTGTCTCAATGTATTGCTCCTCCACTTTATTTGTGACAAAAAAAAATGCATATTTCAATAAGTAGAAAATGGAAAATGAAAAATAAAAAAGGAATGAATAAGAGTAACAACACTGATATGTATAAATATACATAGCAGACGACGATTATTAAAGCACTAGGATATATGGCCATTTTAGAGTGGTAGGTGGAGGAGGAGGATTATTATGACGTTATTATATTATTAGAAAAGAATAACACAAAATGATCAACAACCTAAATGTTTTTGGAGGGGAGGAAGAAACTCAAGAAATATGAACGATGACCATCGTACCCGGAGATCGTTGGCGGGTATTTAGAATTGTAGTTGTAGGTGGCATGTGGAGTAGGGGAAGGTTTAACGAGACCATAAAAGCACCGGACGACGAAAAGTTAAACGTTGTTGTATTCACAGTAACCGTCGCATTGACAACATTTCCATTATTGTGAGTTTGAATACAAAGTGCCATATAACTTGTCGGAAGAAAACATACAAAAGGACAAGTAATATCCACCAATAAGACAAACGCCATGGGACAACTTCCGCCGCGGCTTTTGTCCGTGGGTATCATCGCTGCTGCACTAACATTTATACTATTACTAATACCAGCTTCAGCAAGTAAGTTTCACTTATTATTAATTAATATACACATTTCACTTGATATCACCTGATTGTCAATAATTGACTAAATAATAATTATAATAACTGATCCAATGGATTAAATTACAAACAATTGAGAAAGAACAAATAATTAGGGTTTTATGAGCTTCAATGAGCGCTTGGTATCATTGAAACTATTACAGTCAATTGCCCCTTCATACATACCTTTCAAGCGGATATCTGGTTAAATTGATCTAGACACATCCCCTATTCAATACATGTATCACGATAATTTAGGCAATTTCAAAGAATGAAAAGAGAAAACAATGGAAAAATGGAAAAATTCATTGAATGAAATTTACAAATGAAGAATTGAAAATTTCTTTGCTCGATGAAGAAAAAAAATGAGGGGTGTTTATCACTTTTATCATATACTCCAAGATACTGATAAATTTAATGATATCACATTTGACCCTAGTTGAAATGCTTCCAGTTTTTTTTTGTCAACTTTGCGAAACTCAATGAGGTCACTCGAGATTAATCCCTCGCGACCTCTCTAAAGGGCAAATTCAAACTGTTATTACATAAACCACTGTATGCAAATAATCGACTGGCTTCATGATTTTCACATTTCATATTTTTCAATTGAAAAATAAAACTTGAATTGACTAGTTTTTTCTTCCACTCGAAAGGGACAAAGTAAGATAAGATAAGATATATGTTTATCGTTTAGGAATTTAAACAAAAGTTATACAAAGTGAAACATAGGAGGAGCAGTAATTACTGAGAATGGACAATAGAGAATAGATAGAGCAGTAATCAGAGAAAAAAAACAAGATGAACATTGCGATCTGAACGGTACAGATTAAAAAGAGATCGAAAACATAGAAAAGTTGAGGATGAGCCTCTCAGCTGTGCTGCTCATTGTCGAGGAGCCAGCGCTTCAAGTGCCTCTTGAAGGACGTGGGTGACGTGAGTTCTCGGATGTTGACAGGGATGCTATTCCAGGTCTCCGGACCAGCAGCAAAGTAGAGATATTATAGAGGGTGGCTAGATAATTGATAACATAGAAGACAAACAGAGGGAGAGAGAGACCGATGACCAAAGTTGGAAAGTTATTGACACTCATCAAATTTGTGAATACTAGTAGACTCAACATCCTGTTTAACGACTAAGGTCAATGTGATATCTCGGTTGCTGGTACATTATTTTGATTGTATATGACTATCCGTAACTTAACAGATACCAGGGGTCAAGGGACATTCCAATTCCCAACATTAGATTAGCGTGCATACATATGCGTTATCATTCTTGAATATTATTTGTATATATATATGTATATACAGCAGCGAGATTTATTAATTTTCTATTCTTCTTATAAAATTGTTTCAGATACTTGCATTGTTGGTTGTCATGGAAGTAAGTACATGAAATTATTTTCTTCATAATATACTTTAAATACTTGATATAATTGTAATATATGAAAATTGAATAAGCAGTGCAAGGGGGCAAAGGATACGCAGAGGGCAATACCTATTCATATGGATTTGAAGGAACATCTGTAACTGCAGTGAGTGAAGCACAAGGTGACTCGACAGTTAAGCTAAGCGCGAATGTTGAACTCTCAGTGAAGCCTGATTGTGTTCGTCAATTGAAATTGAAAAACGTCCTTCTTAATGGAACTGTAAGTATAGCATTTCAAGTTGAGCAAAAGCGAGGTAACTTTACCCCTCCCTTAACTCCTTTTAATAATAATAGTAATAATAATAATAATAATAATAATAATTTTAGCCGATAAGTCAGAAGGATGTGGAGCAATATGCTCTTCAATTCAATTACCACAATGGACATATCGACACAAGTGTCTGCACTGAGCCACATGATTCCCAAGCTTCTCTCAATATTAAACGAGCTATCGCATCACTCTTCCAAACAGCAGTTATGCAAGACAGTGGAGTTACTATGCATCGTGAGGTGTGTAATTAAATTTCATTTGTTTAATAATTCCAGTTGTAAATAATTAATTATAATTGTTTTCATTTTCTATTTCTATTTCTATTTCTATCACTAGACCGATGTATTTGGTAATTGTGAGACAAATTTTGAGTTTCGCACGGAAGGTGATAAGCTGACTGTTCATAAACGTAAAAACTTGTCAAACTGTTCCCACCGGGAGCATCTGCGCCATGGGCTCTTGTATTCCACTTATGATGGGTCCTCCGATATTCAGACATCGCCAATTGTCGATTCACATCAAGAGATTGAGCAGATTCTCGAGAATGGAATACTCAATAGTGTAAAATCAACAGAGACTTACATCTACAGACCTTTCACAAATGGTGAGGCAGGTGCAAAAACTGTTATTCACTCAAAATTGATTCTAAAATCTTCTTCTGCTGATGGACAATCAAAAGCACTGGTATCTATTCCAAAGTCACTTATATTTGAAGCACCTCATCCGGTTGTCGAATCGTCAGCAGAAGCTATTATAAATTCATTAAAAGCCATAAAAGAAACATCCAAACCTGAGGAAATAAAGAATGGTGCAGCTGAAAAATTTGGAGATTTGATAAAAGTTTTGCGTAAAAGCAATAAAAATGATATAATCAGTGTTTATCAGAAACTTAAAGCAGGAGCAAGTGGATTTGATAAGAATTATGATAAAAAAATTTTATTGGATGCACTTTATAGAACTGGTACAGGCGAAGCGGCAGAGGTTGCTGTTTATTTAATAAAAAATAAAGAGCTCGATGATTATGAAAAAATGGCTTATTTAGCCAGTCTCTCGTTGGTTGATCATGTCAATTTGCCAGCAGTGACAGCAGTTGTAACATTACTAGATGAAAAAGATGTACCACGAATTGGTTATCTCGGCATTGGTAATATTATTGGTAAATATTGCCGTGATCATGAATGTGATAATGTAGCTGAAGTAAAGGCAGCCCTGGCAAAAATTTCATCTAAAATTCATCAGAATAATGGAATACCAAAAAATCGTAAAAATGAAAATGAAATAATAGCGTCATTTAAAGCACTTGGCAATGCTAAATACCTTGATAAAGAGACTGTTGAGAAAATGGTAAAAATTATCAATGACAAGACAATTCATAATCGAGTACGAGTTTCTGCAATTGAAGCACTCCCAGCTAAATGTAGCGTGGAATGGACTAATCCAATACTTGATATATTTGCTAATCGTGAAGAGGACAGTGAAGTTAGAATTAAAGCCTACTTGAGTTTGATTGCTTGTCCATCAGCTACAGTTGCCAATCGCATAAAGGAAATTATTGATAAAGAAACTGTTAATCAAGTGGGATCATTCGTTACGAGTCATTTGAAAAATTTACGAGCCAGCACTGATCCAAGTAAAACAAATGCGAAAAAATATTTTCAAGAGATAAGACCACGCAATAAATTTCCCATTGATTATCGTAAATTCTCATTCAATAATGAATTATCATACAAGATTGATAAATTTGGAATTGGTTCGACAATTGAACAAAATATTATTTATAGCCAAAAAAGTTGGTTACCACGTTCAACGAATTTGAATCTTACAACTGAAATTTTTGGACGATCATTTAATTTCTTGGAGATTGATACACGCATTGAAAATTTGGACAAATTAATTGAACATTATTTTGGACCAAAGGGAATTATTAGGCATTCTGATATAGCTGATTTAATTGTTAATGGGAAAAATACATTCTCAAATGTGTATGGTCGTGTGAAAGAACGTATGGAAAAAATAGGACGTGGACGTCGTGCTGCATTAAATTATGGAGATGTTGAAAAATTTTCTAAAAATATAAAATCAACAAAATATGAGGATACACTAGATGATGATGTTGATATTGATATATCTGTAAAAATGTTTGGTCTAGAATTGGCATTTATGGATTTAAAAGATAGCAATGTGAATGATAATGACAAATCAACATCTACTATTGATAAAATCTTCAAGTACATAGATGAAGCATTAAATAATGCAAAAAATTTTGATTACAGTGTATCAAAACACTTGCATTTCATGGACATTGATATAATATATCCAACTGGTTTAGGTTTTCCATTATCCATTGGAATTGAAGGTAATGGTGTAACTAATGTAAAGAGTAGTGGTAAAATTGATTTAAAATCAATTATAAAAGATCCAAAGAATGCAGTTATAAAAATTGGATTGGAGCCAAGTGCTAGTATTAGCATCGCCGGTAGTCTTACCATTGATACATTTGGCATTGAAAATGGTTTAAAAGTTATTGGTGATATACATACATCGACTGGTAGTGATGTCTCACTTAGACTACTTGATGGCAATGGTTTTGACATCAATTTTGGAATACCCAAGAGGAAGCAGGAAATAATAAGTGTATCCAGTAAAGTGATTTTCATTGATAAAAATGGATTGAAAACACCAGTGAAATTTACCAAAGGTAAAGAGCACTCTGATTGCTTTGATCAATTTTCAACAATTCTTGGATTAACAATTTGTGGCCATTTCTCATTTCCTTATGAATCACTTGGATCCATTGATAAACGACCATTCTTTCCTATAAGTGGACCGGCTAAATTTGCCTTGAGTATTGAAAATACTGACGCAACTTCTTATCACTTACGGGCATTCTATGATAAATCAAAGGACAACTATAAATCAATGGAAATTCTCTTTGAAACACCAAACAGTCGGAATAATCGAAAAGTATTACTTCGTATTGAAGGCTCTAATGAACCAACTAAAAAATACATTAGAGCTGTATTTGATTCACCATTGAAATATGCCGATGGACAATTGGCTATTGAAAATAGTGATAAGAAGAAGGCATTTACAGTAACACTCAAGCATGACAAGGATAATTATTATGGATCAATTGGTATTGTTGCCAATGGAAATAAATACAAACCAATTTTGGAATATAAAATACCTGAACATATTGAAAAATTGGCCGTTGGTGGTAAAGCCGCCGGTGAAGCAGCAGCAGCAGCTTATAAACTTGATGGTGATATTATCGTCAATGATCAGGATCAAATGATGAAAAAGTATATATTTGAAAAAATTACTTTATTTGTACATGGTAAAAAATTGGCAAGTTTAGATGGATCAGTATTATCAGGAACACGTTTACTTGTTGTTGATGCTAATATTGCTCATAAAGATGAAAATTTTCACCTTAAATTCGATGGAAAGTTTAATGATCATGGATTAGATGTAAATTTGGCTGTTGTACCATTTAAAAATCCAAATATCGGTTTTCAATTGGTTTGGCACTATGATTTGACAAATGAAAAAATTGATCACAATTTTATATTTACTTATGGTGCTGATCTTCAATCTAAAATAAATCGATTCACTTTTACTGAGCATGTTACATATAAAAAAAATAATAATCAACGCTCAACAGATTATGCATATGTACCATTGACAGCATTTAAATGTAAATCAGAAATTACTTGGCCAGCTCAAAATTTTCATGCTAAACTTGAAAATCAACTCTCTACTCACCATTGTGAAACTGAAATCAATTTACACTATGGAAAATTCAAATTTGGTACTGAAATGGAAATTAAAATTGATGAAACTAATCCCTCAAATTGGCAATTTGAATTTGATACATATCTTATTGATAGTAAATTGTCATTGAGCGCTAAGCATGAAAAAATGACTGCTTATAAGAGAAAAATTGAGGGTAAATTTGAAATACCAGGAGCTAAATATGAAGGTGAAGCTATAACACTGTATCATGTTGAAGGGCACAATGCTAATATTGGACTTGAGAGTAAATTCAAATTGAATGGTAAAAAAATAGAAGTGAATTATGATTTTGAAATGAATCCTCAAAAATTAAATAGTCATGCTCTTGTGAGTTTTGATAATACAAAATATTTGGAATATCTTTTGGAAGGAACAAGAGGAGCAAAGCCACATGGTAAATTGACACTTATAATGAAGAAAATTTTAATAATTGCTGGTCAATTTACATATGAAAATGGCAAAGGTAGTAGTAGCATTGACATTGAGCTTCCAAGATTTGAGCGAAAAATAAAAGGAAATGGAGCACTAACAATTAGTGGTACACATCACATTGCCAGCATTGAAGTTCTACTTGATGCTGAAAGAGATCCAAATAAACGCATCAAATTATCAAGTGATTCAGACCTGACTAAAACATCTATTGATACGAAAAATATCATTGAAATTTTATCTTATAAAGTGGAAATCAATGGAAAAGGAAAGTTTATTGATAATAATAAATCAGGTCGTGATTTGGAGGGTACATTTGATTTACTTCTGCCGAATGGCCGTTATTTCATTGTCAATGGTAAAGGTAAAGCAATACGTGCAGCTGATAAAACCCTAATTAGTGGTAAATATGAACTATTGGATCATCAAAATAAAGGTGGACAATCACGTAAAATTGGCTATGAATATGATTTGGCTATGACTGAACCAAAACACGATAATGTTGAGGCAAAACATAATTTATTACTGGCTAATTATGATGATAAAAATTTACAAATTACTTTTGCCACTAAATACACTGGATCTCCTATTGTGGATGGGGCGATAAATAAGGCTGATATTCAATTTATTGCATCAGGAAGTTATTTACCTAAAGAATTAAAATTCATCTTTAGCAGTGATAAGGAGACAAAGGACAAAGCCTCATGGAAATTAGATTCATCGTTTGGTAATGATTTGACAATCAATGCTGGTGGTAATCATTTAAACGGTTATTATGAAAATAAACCAAGCATTGCTGATATAAGTATAGCATTGCAATTACCAAATGAAAAACTTCGTAATTTAAAATATCATGGTAAAATTAGTCTCTTATTGCCTAATGAAAATATTAATGATTTTGAATACACAACTATTCAAACATTGACATATAATGATGATAAAACAATCAGTGGTGATATTAATATTCGAGCAAATGGATTCCAGCAGCCAGGAGAGATTAAAAAAGAGAGTACAGGAAAATTGAAACTGGTTATTCTTCAACATTCACCATTGATAATCAATGGCAATATTAAATACGATCCATCTGGAGAAATAAAGAGAGGTGATGGTTCCATTGTTGTTAATTATGGTGATAAAAAAGTGGCTTTGAATTTTGATAGCACGTATAAATTGGATCTCAGCCACATAGGTATGAATATAAAAGCTACAACACCTGCTGAAAAATTGCACAATGTTGAATTTGGCTTTGAACGCAATGCCGTTAATAAAAAAATTAATGACAATGGTGCCTTGAATAAATACAACGTTCATCTGATTGCCGATGGAAAGAAGTACGATGTAAGCAGTGAATTTGAAATTAATGATAAAAAATTCAATCGTGTTGATATGATTTTCACATGCCCCGAAGGTAAAACTGAAATTCATTCAATGATGAATATAATTGGTGAAAATGAATACAAGGGTGATTGGAAAGTTGTAACACCAAAGGGCTTTGCAGTTGCTGATGGCCATTTGAAATTTGAAAATATCGATGATTTTATTATTGATTTCAATTTTGATAGTGATAAAATTAAAGAGCGAAAAATCCATGCCGAAATAGCGTCAAAGCCAGCAATCAAGACTGGCAAAAGAATCATTATCACCGTTACCAGTGATGGTAAAAATATTATAACAGGAAGTACAAATTATAATAAACGCGATGAAGTGGATAAAGTTATTGTTGAAGGAAGTGGTAATTTGAAAATTGGTGATAATACAAGAAGTTCAAAATTCATGTATTCACGTAAACAACTTAGACGGAATAATGACGGTGAAACTGGCGTTGTAATTATGTTGAATGCCAATTTTGGACCTTCAGCTGTTGTTGGAGAATTCAAACTATCTGATAAAGAAATCAATATATTAAATAGTTTCTGCGAGAAGAGTAAAGATTGTGCACACTTCAAACTTCGATCGATACTTGATAGTGATCGTGAAACACGTATGAATCATCAAATAACCCTTGAAGTTGATCTAAAAAAATTCTACGTACCTGTTGAATTTGGATTAAAAATAACAAGCAAATATCAGCCCAAAGAATTGACATTCGATCATACTGCCAATTTATATTTACATACATCAAAAGATAAAACACAATATTCGTCTCATATATATATGAATATTGATGAAACTGGTGTTGTTTTAACAGTGCCAAATCGTGAATTTGCCCTGATAACAATAATCAATGTGCCAAAATCAAAAATTCCAGTGGGGCCATTTAAAATTGATTTATCAGTTTATTTGGACAGAAAGAATCATCCAAATGATAAAACAAGCTTTATTGCAAATGGTGATATTATTGGGGATAAAAATTCCGCTGGAATATCTGGTGAAGTGCGTTTTATTCATCCAGGACAAACTAAAGATATGATGGTAAAGGGAAAAATTTATACTGGTAATGAATATTATCTCGATGCTAATGTAGATTTTGATGTTTTTGCAAAAAAAACACAAAAAATAACAGTTGCTGCTCAACTCTTTAAAAGACAAATGGAAAAAGGTTACAATATAACTGGCCTAGTTGATGTAACAAGCCGTGGTCAACAATTGAAAGTTAATTTGAAGAATAATTTAGCTGTATCATCAAGTGAAATGGGCTTTGAAACATCTCTATCATACAATGATAAAAATCAAAAAGCCAAAACAGTGGGAGTATTTTTCAACGCCAATGCCAAGCAGATTAATTTGAAAATTCAAGGACCTAATAAATATTTACTACAATCAGACTCTACTATTGAATTGAGTAAAAATAAACAAATGATTGAATCTAAATATCAAATTGTTGATAATCCAACAGTTGTGGTCAGTATTGAGGCACATGACTTTAATAACTTTAAATATCAAAGTTATCAGCAAGATAAGCCAGATAACAAATTAATTGTTAGTGGTAGAGCTGTTATTGGACAAGTTGGTGAAATTCATGCTGATGCAATGATTAATGGTGAAAAGAAAAATCTCTTCAATATTGCTATTTATCTCGATGAAAATCGTTTTCTCAAGCCAAATTTTGCATATAATAAGGATAATATCGTATATATGATTGATTTATATCGTGAAAAATTGTTAAAATATGCTGAAATATTGAAAGAAGCTGGCAAACAAGTTAATGATGAGGCATCCATTGAATTTAAAGATTTAATTGATCATTTAAAAAAATCACAGTCAAATTGGAGACCAATGATTGAATATTATCAAAAAGAATTAATAAAATTGAAGGAGGAAATTAACAATGACAAAATTCTTCATGAAATTATTGATGCTTATAGCAAAGTTTTTGGAGGTATAACAACTGCAATTGTACAAATAATAAAACAATTGACTGAGCATATTGAACAATTGCACAAACAATTTAATGAAATAATGGAAAAATTGTGTGAAGCCATTAAATCAACCTCACCAAGGATCAAGGAATCCATTGATAAAATTGCCAAAGCTGCTTTAGAAATAATTGATGCTGCAAGTAAATTAGCCGCTACATATGTCAAAGCTATTATCAATATTATTAATGAGCATCAAAAAGAATTAAAAGAATTGATAAAATTGATGAGTGAAATTGCTCATGATATAATAAAAATTTTATCCAAAGGTATCAAACAAATTGAGGCTGATGTGAAGAATTTTATTACAATGGTGAGTCAACAAATTAAAGCTCTTCCAATTAATGAATTCTTTTCATCATTAACAAAATACAAATGGTCGGATATTTCCAATTATAAAATACCAGAAGGAATTTTAATGCCAATTGAAGAGGCATTTGTTCAACTTACAAAACTATTACCAACTGAAGAATTACGTCAATTTGTTACAATCACATACAATTATTTAATGAAACTCATTAAACACGAGAGTGTCGATGAACAAATGGAAATTAAAAATATTTATACCCATGGAATTGATGCACTACGATCAATAATTGCACTTATACAACATCAGGATATTAATAATCACGAGTTTTTCGGAATATTTGGCGATAATTTATTAGCCAATTTGCACTATATTAGAAATATTGCTGGTTTACCAATTTTAAAATTATCCATTATCAATGTCATTCGGAATGGTGAACTTCCAAGTATTAGTGATTTATATTATACTTATCGTCCAACTGGTCATACTTATTCTGATATCATACCACCGTTCAGTAAAATGGCAATTGTTGTTGAAGGTGGACACTTCTTTACATTTGACGGACGTCATTTAACAATGGCTGGTACATGTGATTATATATTGGCACATGATACACATAATGGAAATTTCACAATAATTGGTAGTTTCAATGGTGGAAAATTCATCAGTCTTACTATTGTAGCACCCAGCGAGAGTATAACACTTAAATCCAATGGAAATATATTGGTAGATGATAAACCAGCCGAATATCCAGCTAATACGAAAAATCTTCATGCATTTTTAACACCTCCTATTGTCAATGTTAAATCAGATTATGGTATACATGTTGCCTGTAGTCAAAAAACTCCAATGATCTGCAGTGTTTATGTCTCCGGATTTTATCATGGAAAATTACGTGGTATTTTCGGTGATGCTAATAATGAGCCTTATGATGATTTAACACTTCCTACTAATCACATTACTGAAAATGAGTCTGATTTTGCTAATGCATATCGACTCAATTCAGCATGTACAATAGCACCAGCCATTGATCATCATGAAACTCACGCACGCAATCCCACATGTACATCTTATTTCACTGATACTTCTTCAATGAGTTCATGCTTCAATTATGTCAATCCAATGGCATTCCGTCAAGCCTGCGATCATGCTACAGCAGCTGGAACCCCTCGTGCTGCATGTCTCATTTCTGCTGCTTATTATGCAGCTTGTCGGAAACAAGGTATTGCCATTTCAATTCCAACTGAATGTGGGGCCTGCAAAGTTGGCAAAGATAAAAATGTCGCTATTGGTGACAATTTCAGTGTTAAAATACCTAATAAAGAGGCCGATATTGTATTTTTCATTGAACAAAATACCAAGAATGACAAGATATATCATGATTTTATTGTACCTCTAATGGCTGAAGTTAAAAATGAATTTAAACATTATGGAATCAATGATATTCATATTGGATTGATTGGCTATGGTGAGGATATGAAATGGCCCCAACATTATACAACCGGTGGCAGTGCCAATATCAATGGAGAAGTTAAAAATATCAAGTTTTCCGAGGCTAATAGTCCAATAACTTTTAAACAAGCTAAAGAGGGTGATGTTAAAACTCGTCTCAATTATGCCAAACAAAGAATTGATGTTGAGCTTGGAACATTTGCCATCACCGATGCTTATGAAGAAGCGATACGTTATCCCTTTAGAATTGGATCTGCTAAAGCTGTTGTTGGTATTATAGCAACACCTTGTGAAAAAAGCCCTTTACCACTTTCTCTTCAACAAGTCAGATTATTCATGGGACAAAAAGCTTATCGTGATCTTGGATTGACCTACCATCACATTGGTTTTTTAAATGATATATTAGTATCTGGTAAAATGCAAAAGAATGTTGTAGGATATGATTCAACTGCTGCTTACACATTAGCCGATAGTAAAAACAAACCACTGCAAGGAAGTATCGATAAAAATAACTTGGTTCTAACTAGCAATGATGTCTGCGCTGGATTTGCTGTATCTGTAAGTTTTACTCAATAATTTACTATATGAGGAAAAAATGATAAAATACATTATTATTATTATTAATTTCAATTTCAGTCGGGAGGTGCAGCTTTCAGTTCGAATCACTTTCTCGAGGCAAAGCCAAATCAACAAAAACAATTTATACAAGTAACAGCAAGACGAATTGTTGATGGTATGGCAAATGTCCAATTACAAGAGGATTGTATCTGTAAACAACAGTCAGGACTTAATGGCCATGCAAACTGTAAGATTGTTGGACGCAAAGAAAAAGAATCGCTTGGTGTGAGTATTTGAATTATTATTATTATTATTATTATTATTATTATTTTCATCAAACGTTTGTAATTACAATTTCTTTTACTTTCTTTTCAGAGGCATGCTAAGGATTCCGTCAAGGGTTGAAAAATTTCAACATCCATAATGTTCCCCTTCCCACAAGCCACATAGAATTTTTTACTTTTATGAGAAAGATGATAGAAAAAGAAAACAAAAACAAAATATATTATTAAATCCATCTTTTTTCATTTTTATTTACTATTACTATACGAATTGTATATTATAGATTAATACCACTATACTCTTGTACGATCAATTTGTTGGATTTTTTATTTTGTTCATATATTATATTTTGTATTTCTTGTAATACGTATTATACGTACATGTGACCATTTATTCGAATCATACCTCGATGAGTCAATGAATATTAATAATAATAATAATAATAATAATAATAATAATAATAATAAAACACAAAACCGTTGATATTACATCAAATTTATTCCCATCATGAGATGATTAATTCTGTAATTCTATAATTGAAACATTAAAAATTACAAGCCGTGAAAGAAAGCGAGTAATTTTGCGATTTTTTTTTGTGGATTATTCAAATTAGCCTCTCATTTGCTCTAAAATTTAGCCATTCACTTTTGTATTTGAACATGACAATTCAAATTAACGAAAAGAAGAAAAAAAAACATGTACAAACCGTCATTATTTAATTAAAATTTCTTTTAACTCGGGTTTATATACAATTTGTATGTAGATAACTGTTGAATGGTGGGGATTGGGAAGTGGTAAATACAAGTGTCAGCCAATAGCGCTTGTCAGTTGCTCCGAAGCGCCACAGAGCAGTGTTTTTTTTCTTTTTTTCTTATGTGTCATGTAGTTAGTCGTGTGCGGCGGCCCTGTATAACGCTAACGGTAACGTGTACCTACCCTTTCATTCATTATTATTCAGTATTATTTAATTTACATTAAAATTGATTAGAATATACAATTACACCATTGCATAATAATCAACTCACCAATTGGATGTGAGTGTCGCAACTACTCTTTCGAATGTGGAAACAATGAAAGTGAATCGCGCGCCCTTGACATTCGCATAAAAGAAATATTTCTCTACATGAACAGATCACCAGTTATCCTTGATATATACCTACACATGCCAATAATACTTATATCATAATTTTTTTCAGATGACAAAAATATTTCTAATCGTCATTTCGTTAATTATTGGCATTCATTGTCAACTGATATTCCCTGATGAATTCGAAAGATTCGAAAAAATCAGTCCACCGAATGGGAATCAAAGTCCACCCTTTCCCACATTTCCCCCAAATACTTATCCGATCAGTGAGGATAGTTATACTCCCGTTATAAATAACATTCAACAAGCAAAAAGTATACAAATAACGTTATCAAAAAATCACAATAATAATAATAATAATAATAATGGATTATCAAGTTTTGGTTCGTCAAACACGAATAGGACTGATGAAAAAATCTACTGGAACGATTATGTGAGTATAATTTTCAACTTGTTATGCGAATAATTATACAATAATTATAGTACTTATTTTATCTTTATTGTGTGTGCTTCAAGGTTAATAATCTCATAATTAAAGGAGTAATGAAGTTTGCTTTGGATATGAACCATGCAATCGACGCAGATCAGCAAGAATTATCTATGAGCTTGAATCGTCAAAATGTTGTATTTTCTCCAATAAGTTTAGTAGCAACACTGGCTATAGTTTTACTTGGTTCTGCTGGCAAGACTTTTGACCAAGTGGAAAAAATCCTCGGTCTTTCGTCTGATATTGATATTTCTAGCCATTCAGAAATTGTTCATGAAATGTTGGCTTTATTACTCGCTTCCATAGATACCAGATTACCGATCAATGCAACAGGCCCTCAAGTTAAATTTGCTAATGGCATATTTATTCAGGTAAATTATTTGAAAAAAAAAAAAAAAATTTTTTTTGTACAACACTATAACGAGCGTCTATTATTGTCTAGGCTGGTTATCCCATTCGTCCAGAATTTTTAGCAATCAGCCAAGGAGTTTATAATAATGAGGCAATTAATGTCGACTTTATGAGACAATCTGTGACAGCTCAGAGGATTATAAACAATTGGGTAGACATGAAAACCCATGGAAAAATTAAGAATATTTTGACACAAGCCCCCAACCCCGAAACTAAGATTATTTTCGCATCTTCTTTATACTTCAATGGTGAATGGAATAAATACTTCCTCAACAAAGGCACCAAACGGTTAGTCAAAATTAATTTCGACACGATGGGTTTTTCCAGTGACCAGTCATATGAAAAGATTTTTTTCTCGTGTTTTCTCTTCTTTTCTTCCCACTGTGTCTACAGAACGGTTAATTTTTCTATACATTTTTTTTCTTCTCTTTAAGAATATACCAATACTTGGTTCTTAGAAAAGTAGCTACAAGTGAATGTAAATGAGTTCTCGACGTGATTCTTTGTTTATCGCAGGAAACCATTTACGTTGGCATCTGGACAAACCGTTGACGTAGATATGATGTATAACGGTGGGGATTTCCCGTTCTATCGTGATCAACAATTGGGCATAGAAATTGTAGGACTTCCCTATAAAAATAGTGCTCAAAGCCCAGTAAGTTGAGGTGATCCAGTGCTTAAATATCCAGAGAATTTCAGTAAATAATATTATTGTTTTTATTATTATTTTTTCAGGTTGAGCCAACTGATTTTCGACTTTTTGAATCAACAATGTACATTTTGTTACCAATATCTACAGATCCAAATGCTCTCAAGACGTTGCAGTCTACATTGACGCCGGATCTTGTTGAACAACTCATATTGCACATGGAAAATGAACATTGTGTCATAGGATTGCCACGGATGAAATTGTCAAGTACATTGCATCTCAAACGTGCACTTGAGTCATTGGGTCTGATTTCACTCTTCCGCTCGGATCAAGCAAATCTGGCCCTCCTCTCTGCCGGTCCCAATCGTCCCATTCCTAATATAATCCCAACCACATCGGATCCATTAATCTTTACAAGAATCAATAATGAAGATCCTCCAGGAACTGCTGAGTTAACAAGTGGCAACTTCACAGGACGAAATAACTACTTCAAGTATGAAGATAAACAAGGCGGATATAAAGTACAACAATGGAATAATGGAGTTTTTGTTGAAAAAATTATAAAATCGGAACGCCAAAGAAGACAATTATCACCAGAAAGTGTAAAAAAAAAATCTAGACTTTATAAGCGACAAATTAATCGTCCCATTGGCAATGATTTCAGTAAATTCATTGAAAGACAAGGTTTTTCTAATTATGGTCTTGATGCGCTGAGAAATAATGCTCATCTAGTTAATCCTGGATTATATGCTTCTGATGTTGTACATAAAGTTGAAATTGATATAACAGAAACTGGTACGGTTGCTGCAGCTGCTACCAGTGCTACGATTACACGCACCGCACATCTCTTTATAGCCAATAGACCTTTTATATTTTTCATCAGACATGGACCATCACGACTAATTCTCTTCTGGGGTTCCATCAATCAACCCACCCCAAATTATTCGAAATCATTCAAATAATTTTTTTTCTCTTTTGCTCTCTAATTCAATTTATTCCCCCCACATTTTCCCGTAGGTTATTATTATCATTGAATTATTATTATTATTACTATTATGAGAGAAGCATATCAACTTATACGCTATATACCATATATAGACATTATATTTTTACTAATAAATTTGCCTTCAAGTGGCTACATATTTTGCTTGTAATGTTGCCGTAAATTTTTATTATTTATTATGCGGTCATTGAATTTTCATCCACATACAGAAACATTTATCAACATTAATATTTCACTTATTTAAGACTGAATTCACTATTTAATTTTCAACAATTCATTTTGCCTAATTCCCAAGCAAATAGAGTTACAATGATTGATTATAAGAGCTTCAGTGAGTATAAATAAATGAAGAAAACAAATAAATAAATTCCAAAAGAAAAAAGAACATTTTTCAAATTATTTTTACACACATGAAATGATGATTTAAAAAAAATACTAATAATTATGTTTAGGTAATCATAAATTTTAAAGTATAAATCAGAGGCTAAAGAAATAATGAACAGTGATTCACGGCTCATCGTTCTCCATTGGTCGTGCAAGATTAAAATCCAAAATTTCGTCAGATGTCAAAAATCGGACATCACTATCTTCAGATAATCCAGAGCCCTTACTCGATTTTGCACCACGTACATAAGATTTTCGCCATGTCCAAATGAAGATAATGACAATGGTTACAACTGTTGCCAATACTATGAGAGCAGCTATTATGCTGATGATTGCAGTTGAACTCAGAGACACGTGAGATTGCACTTGTTGCACTTGCTCAATCATGAAATGTGTTTCTATTGGCGAAAAAAAGTGGATAATTGAATTTTTTATAAATAAATGTAGCTAATGTTGGAAATTTATTAAACTTTGATAATATTGCATTAAAGAGATTTTTTATACGAGACATATTTATTACATATGAAAAATTGTCCAAGTTATTTTAGATATTGTAGTACAACTTGCTTGACTTCCAATGTAATTCAAGCAATCGTCTTTTAAAAATGCTTTGGAAGCTTATTTATTTTTAACTATAAACAAAAGAAATTATACCACAATTGCAGTTGCAATAATACTTTAACCCTGCTACTTACCAGTTGTCGCATCAGAATGATTCGTCTTAAATGATACGAACGGAGTTTCCGGGTGGATCGTACTTTTAGTCATAGGATAAGTCAATTTTGTTGTGTAAGGCTCCAATTCATCTTTGGGCTCGACAGGCGTTGAAACATAATGATATTGCATTGTAAATCCATTATTACCAGTTGGAGGAGTGTATGAATCATCAGCAGTAGCTGAAACAAAACCACAACGTAAAGACTGATTTTGAAATTATTTTGCACCATGAAATGCTTGTCAGATTTAACTGTCACGATGAAACAAACCTAAAACACAGTACTCAGCAAAGTCAGGACAGCATGTAGAATTATCAGCACAATCGAAGGAACAATGGCATGCATCAGGCGATGTTGTTGGTATTATGGTTGTCCAAGTGCCCATATATTTTATATTATTACCACATCTTCCTCGACAACTCTGCGCTGCATTGATTATTTCAATTTGATCTTCAACAAATCATGATAAAAAATATTGAGTAAACTAATCATCAAATAGAAGACAATTGTGTATTTCTATTCATTCCATTCACCATCTTGTTCTTTTACAGATGCACTAGTTACATTGTCATTGGGTGTTTGTGCTTGTAAACACTCTTCACCTTGGAGAATAGCAACATCATCCACTGCTAGATCACTCACATAACCAGCACCCCGTACGCCTTCAATAATAATCTGAAAATGAAAAAAAATTTGAAAAAAAAAAAAAAAAAAAAAAAAAGAGAGAGAAAGAAAATGTATCTATCAATAACTAACATACTTGAAAGTTGTCACTGGTTTTGGGAAGATTGAAAATTCCATGGAGCCATTGATTGCCTTGATTATGATGCTTTTCAAACATTATTTGAAGATTATCTGGATTTGACTCAAGTTTCAAGTAAATTCGTAATGTACCGATGGTAGCACCATACATATGATACCTGAGTAGAATAGTTATAATATAGTATAGATAGATATGATTTTTTTCTTTTTTCCATTAGTTTTAAGGAAAATTACCAGAAAGAAAAACATCCAGAATTGGTCAATGAGGCATTATACAGTGGTGATATAATTCGTGCTGTATCATTGACGAGTCTGCCAGATGCTTCAATATACAGATAATAGCCATCATTTCCAGGGCCAAGGGTATGATCATGTGTAGGACCAGTTCCAATGTGCGAACTTGGTGTCTGAAAATTATGTCTCCGCCAATCAAAGTCATGTTTGGGATCCTGCTCCCACCAACACAAGTCTGGAGTTTCAAAATCACATTTTGTTGGTGCTGTAATAGTGGTATCTGTGCAAAAATGAATAAATCTATTGATAAAAGAACAAGACACGAATATAAAAATAAATACAATCAATCAATAAAATAAATGCCATAAGAATTACCTCTGCAATAAGGCGCTGTACCATTCCACTGCTTTCCGTTACAATAAATCTCAACACTACCAATGAGCACATATCCAGGTTCGCAAAAAAATATAAGTATTGCTCCATTATATTTGGGTGCAACAAGCGCGTGATCAGGCGCTGATAACTTTGGACATTGAGAATCTTTAAATTAAACTTGTATAAATTTAACAAATTTTAAACTACGTGCAAGAATAAAAATAGATAAACAATTATTCTTTAATACGTACTAACACAAACTGGTATTGAAGTATCCCAATTACCACGGACGCAGGTAGAATATTTATCTCCAATGAGAGTGAAACCGTCATAGCATTTGAATCTTATTATTTTTCCACGTCTTCTTATTTGAACTTTACCATTCTTCAAAGAAACTAGTGGACACCTCACTTGAAAATGAAATGAATGAAAAATTTTCTTTATTATCTTATTATAGAATTATACAAGTCGAAAAAATGATAAATTCAATAATTATTGCTGTAATTTTACTTACATCCACTATCCCATGAGCCAATAGTATACTGCCAGAGTTCTAATATGGCAATCAGCAATATAAATATATACTTCATCGTAGTTCATTCACTTGTAAATTTTTCTCTTAAAATGTCAACTTTAAAACATCCCTTTTCTTTTTTCGATATTAGCATAGAATTCAATTTTCAAATGCTATTGGCTTATATTTAAGAGTGATAGAGTCATAATGAACGGCCGTTATTCAAACGTTTTTGTCATTTAGCGCTACAATATAGAGCTTAATACCGGGAGGGAATGAGGGCGGAGATGTTACTTCCCTTCTGACTGTGTTTGTGCGATTGGTTATTATCTGTTTCCGTTTGAATTTATCTTACACTGACACTAGCTATTGAGAGAGACCTTGGCCGCTCGGGAGAACCCAAAATTTTATGACTATTAACATTCCAACATCATCATCATCATCATCATCATCACTCCCGCCTGTTTGAAAATTTTATTCATTTTCGGCAAAAACAAGAAAAATAAATGCCTTAATCTCAGTCCATTTATATTTACTAATGAAATATATCACATAATAATAGAAATATTTATATAAAAATTGTAAAATCAAACTAATAGTAATAATTATTGATATTATCGAAGAGGAATTGGCGATGTGTAGCATGATTCAGCAGTGGTCTATCAGTATCACTCCGGTAATTTTTATAATAATTTGAAGACGAAAGATCATTTTGAAATGGAGTATTGATCCATTGTTTTGTGTTCCATAGTTCTGATGGTTTATCTCGGCCTTTTCTTGAATTTACAGTGTCACATTCCATTTTGTGTTTTCTTTTCTCTGGATTAAATAAAATAAGTGGATCAGCTACTAATAACGAAGGTGTAGTTGCACTAAATGGAGCTCCCTCACTGTTGTATGGATATTTATGCGGATAAACTGCAATACGCCGAGGACAATTCCTAATATCATACTTATTCTCAACTGCAAAATACTTGATTGGTTGCTGCATCTCTTTTGATTGTTTTTTCACTTTTTTATTTTCATTTCGTTGATTGGCTTGATTGAAATAATAATCATCATGGGAGGGCAAAACTTTCAAGTCACTAGCAACAGCATCCTCTTTTGCACTAGCATTGCTTTTAAAAAAACAATCAGTTTTTTTATTATATAATAATGTCTTATGCTGCCATTCGTTGATGCCATTTGATTTGAAATGTAATGGCAATCTACTAATTGATTCTCGAGGAGCATTACTCTCTGAAAACCTCACCAATCCTTTCAACTTTTCTGACCTGTCCTTCAATTTATTTTCCACCAGACATTCATCATTCTCATATGAGTGTTGATAATGATGAGAATCATAATTATAAAATGTATCAGCCGTATCCTGAAATATATCTTTGTCTATCCCAATGTTTTCGTAATTCTTACTTTTCACATTGAGAAATTTATCATGGCGAATTAAACGAAATATAACACTTGGTGTTTGGATCATATCATATTTGTCATGTATATTATTGAGTGATTGATTTATTTGTGAATCGGCCATCGATGGAAGGACTGGTGCGTGTTTATTAAATTTCTCACTAAACAAAGGAATGGCTTGATGTGATGTATTATGATTCACCGCATCTAGATTGTCATGACATTTAACTGATGATTTCATTTTCTCAGGATTCTGTTGTACAAAATCATTTGAAATTTCAGTAAAATATGTTAAATTGTTTCTCTTTTTCGATATTTTTTCATTTCCATTTTCATATCTGTAAGTAGACCGATCATGTGCCATCTCATAATTCCTACTCCATTCTTGGCTTTCATCATCAATTGCTGAATAGGATGTGTATGAAAAATCTCTGGCTGTCGATTTCCTTTGTTCTACGCAATTGGCTATAGGACTCTTCTTCTCTGACTCTTTGCATAATACGTAAAAATCACAATTAGAATGATTGGACTCTGCGTATGTATCTCTCAGAAATATTGCAATTTTCTCTCCAGGAGCTTTAAGAAGAGACAAAAAAAAGAATAAACAAACAAATAACCATGTTGAACTTTGATCATTGCTATCCAGCTAGCCATCTACCATTATATCAAACACTGAATGACTATATCATACCTGGAAAGTAATCTAGAGGACAGTTTACAAAACGTTCAATGCAGAGTTGTGCACAAAATTCTTCAAAACAGGTTACAGGTGACCAGCGCCAGCGTCTCACTGACTGGATTTCTGAATTTTTCTCACCTGTCAAATGCTCCAGCCTCTCTGATTGATTATTTTCTATATCACTTCTAGTTGGTGTTACTCTGAATAAGAAATCCGTTGGAGTTATCACTATCTCTATTTCATTGATTATTATTATTATTATTATTATTATTATTATTATTATTATTATTATTATTATTATTATTATTATTATTATTATCATTAACATACTAGCAATAATTTATTTTTAAAAAATATTACCGCCACGACTCCTTTGATGGAAAATTTCTTGACTTTGATTTGTTGCTTTTTGTATCACAACTTGTATTCATTCTGATGTTAATAACCTGTTGATCTTCTTGCTCTTCATCAATTGATTTGCGTTTGCATCTTGTAAAAAAGCAATCAATCAAAAAAATTTTAATAAAATTATCAACTTCTTTCATATCATTATGATCCCTTACTTGTCACCAATTGTCGTGATCCAGTGAGAGCTCTCTCTAGTTGTCTTCAGGCTGTCCAATTGATTTTCATCGCAAACTCTTACGCCCTCAAATTTTCTGTGGAATTGTTTTTCCATTTTAGCGAGAAAAAAAAACATTGAAATCACCTAAAACCATTAGAACATTACGTACTTTAATAAATATCCATCACCGTTAAGGAGCTTTACAACATCACCGGGCTGTTGTCTTCCATTTTTTTCAGACATAGCAATTTTTTTTTGCACTTGTTTACCACTAATAGCATTTCGATAAATTCCAATAGACTAGAAAGAAAAATGTTGGCTAAATGACAGTACTCCAATGGATGTGAAAATGATTAAAAAATGGAAGAAAAAAAAAACAAAAAGATACCGGTTGAGGAAGGAGTCGATCACACAAAGTTCTTTGTCTTATTTCTTCTCCATCATTTTTTGTTATACCATTTGTCTCATCATCCTGCAACGTATAATTTCCAAATAATCAAATAATGAATTCATTGCATGTGAAAAGTCAATTTAAAGAATTATTTGATTACATTGTTCTGTCTTGTCGGAGCAAATTGGTTCAGTGTTTTTCTCAACGAATTTTCCACTTTAAAATTTAATCCCGTTTCTCCATAACATCTTTGTCTCTGCAAAAATAATTCATCTCTGAGATTTAAACGTATCAACGAGTATATATAATGAGAGGTTATGAATATATGTTCGTATATAACTGCCCTAACTGCCGGCCAGTGGCTTCATCGAAATATACGAAAATGTGAAAATATTCGTTCAACATTCTACCAAGAAATAAAATATAATTGAGTGTTTATTGAACCATACCCATTTTTTCCTTGTATTCAGTACCTGACGTCTTACTTGATCGAGATCCTTCTTTCTTCTCTTCTTTTTTGTTCTCATCATTTGTGTCTTACTCTTTTTCATTGCTTCACTCATTGCTACTCATAGATCTGTGACCAGTATACTTTTTTATCACTACTATCTCTTTTTTAATCCTCACAAACGATAGCAACTTTGAGTTGAGTAGAGTTATTATGACAATGTGATAATTTTGTTATTAGTAGGAGAAGAAAAAAAATGAATAAGATAAATACAAACAATTCACAATGGCATACGTCACTTATTTGTAAACTATTGTCCGCTGAATTCCGTCATTTACAAATCGGACAAAATCCTCTCGTAGTGACCTTGGTGAACGAACGAGCCTGTATCAAGGGCATCTGACTCCTAAACCAGCTGTCGCCACGACCGTCATGATGTTGCAAATGTAAAAAAAATTCAAAAACAAAACAAAATAAAACTAATCAATAGACTCAATAAAAAAATTAGTAGTACATGAGAATTACTCCGATTTGACTGATACAGAAATAAATGATTAATGAAAAATCTTGAACATTTTTCATGATGCATTGACATGTTTTTTTAATAATTAATAGAGCTATACTGCTATTTTGTGATATTGGAGCGTTGACACGTAACGGGCGTGACTGCTTTTATATTGGTTAACCCCGGAAATGGAGTGTCACCATCATCCCTTAAAACCTCTGTGATGATGCGTCAATTCCCGCTCTGTTGCGCTCTATTTGCCTCGAGCGGTCTATTATTGACCCAACGATCCACCTGCTGCTAGACTAACTGTCATTGTCAACGATCCTTGCTTCTCATGTTTTTTCTTTGCCATTCGCAATAAACACAGGTACCTGGTACCATGTGTCATATGCACTCGAGCTTTTGACATTTTTCACTGGAGCAGGGAAAGTTCTCTCGTCTTTTATTCATGCAGTACAACGTCAATGGAGAAATGTTCAAATGATGTTAGACAGTCAACATATCAAAGATAGAATGGACATTTTTTGCCGTATCATTATTATTTTGGATTTTTTTTTTTTTTTTTTTTTGCATTTGGTGATTCATTCGTCAGTTGCGAGTTCTTTCTTCTCTTTATTCTCTGTACGTTGAATACATTGACTATAGCTTGGAAAGGAAATGCCTTCGAGAGAGGGGTCACTAAAAATAGAATTAACAAAATCATCTAGATTTTAGGTCGTTCTCAGAGAGAATATTAAGAATAGTGATATGTGAAGAAAATCACTTTTTTCGTGAAAATTAATGACTCACAATGGCCCCTTGTCTACTGGCCGTAAGGTGTAATAATTTTTTCGCGAATATGAAGATGAAATATATAACGTATCCTTGAATCACCGATTTAGTGGAGTAATTTACGTTAAATGTAAGCATATAGAAATGGTACAATACTAAATGCCATTTTTTTATTTTATTAACTATTACTTCAAGTTGGGATAGATGTGTGGTATAACCGGGCTCTCGCGCGCGTCATACACGGGCTTCATAGAGCTCGTGTCGACTTGCCCTGGCCACACCGTAACACAGCTATGTTGCGTCGACGTACTGGAGGAAAAGAGACGCATAGCTCAAGTAGTGTAGGGCGGTTTGCGATTGTAGAGGGACCATAGCTGATGAGGTAAAAGCCAGAGAGAGAGAGAGAGAGAGAGAGAAAGAAGGAAATAGCTAGTGGCTATTCGCAGGGGGTGCTAGCAGGTTTTACACCCTCGACCTCCTCTACCCTGTAGTATGAGTTGCAACCACTGGGGTGCGCTGCTGCGCAGGACCAACCCTCATTCGTGTCGCGCTCTGCGAGCTTAACGTGTCGTTTGGTGTGTCATTTTGTCCAAATAAATATCAAATATTCTCCATTAAAGGTGCGACTTTGTGGCAATGTATTTTTCTCCATTTATATCTTATTTTACAACAACATCAATAGAAGACTATTTTTCTCGAATTCAATTGTGACGTGTTTGTGATTGATTGAAATTATTAATGCCAAAGTACAATGAAAAATCAGAACTAAAAATCCAGATGGCTAAAAGGAGCATTTTTCTACTTAATTAATTAAAGAAAAGCTATGAGTAAGGCTGACAGTAGTGTTTTTCATGAGTGATGATTAACAGCTTTTTCTTTCAGTTTTTACACAATTGTTTTTTCATTTTTTTGTTTTTCGTGTTTTCAATTTCTCGTAATGCAAAGTGTACTTGAAATAAAACTTTGTGGCACACTCTTCAGCAATAAATGAAGACAACATCCAGCCAATACGAAGGAATATATTTATCATCCTATATATTAAAAAAGAAGAAAAACAGAAGAGTCGATTTTATACCTCCTTTTTGTGAATGAATACTGAAAAAGGACGACAAAAAAAATAGTAAATAAAAAAAATTCATATTGAATCGATGATAGCAGAAAAAGAAAAAGTATGATATGCGGAAACGAAGTACGTTTTGGATTGCTCGGTGGCGCGGCTCCGTGCGACCTCTCTTTGGTTCCCTTACATTCTCATCGACCGCAAGATACAAGTGACCGAGTGAGTTACTAGTTCTATTGGTTTTTTGTTCTTCATCCTCCTGTGTTCCCCCTGTTCCACCTCTTAACATTTACATTTCCTCCCATTCTTGAGTTTTCCTTCATCCCTTCCCCCCCCCCCAACCCCTCTTATTTTATATTAATAGGATCCTTTTGGATATTAAATCCGTCATCTATAATATTTGGATTGTTTTTTACATCATTCTCTATATGTATAACTCTTTCGGAATTTAAATAACTCGGACATCTGAATCCAATAATTGTGTGACGTGTGATTGACTTCTCCATATATCCGGATATTTCACGGATGAAAAAGATGAAGATTGACATTTTCATGAATAATATCATCGGATTCAAATGGGTCAATCTAAATCCATTATATTTTTATTTCTTTTTTTGTTTTATTTTTTTTTTTATCTTCTTTTTCTTATAATCTTCTATATGCAAGTCTCTTAACTCTTCTGATACTACTTCACATCTGTTCCGACAGGTTTTTGATGAAAATTAATAGCAATTGACATAATTTTTTAAATTTGGGTAAATTTTGGACTGATGTACAAATAACTTATTGATACTTTCTGCGGAAGGTATATCGATCGTATAGTCTCTCCCGCACAGCCGACCTTTGACACAGGCTCGTAAATTAATTAGTTGCCTCTTCCAAAGGTATTTATATGTAACCTAGGAATAAACCACTTGCACTCTACCGCAAGATCCTTGAGAGCTGTAGAATATTTCTCACTGTTCATCTTGATTAATTATTTTATTGATAATAATAATAATAATAATAATAATAATTTCCATATAAGCGAATATCCCAATGCCACACTAGTTTGTGGTTCTGTTAAATCATTTTCCATTTGACATTAATAATATTCAAATAGTTAACGATCCCTTGAAATGCCCACTCTTGATAATTAACGCAATAATAAAATACGGTCAGAAAACACCTTCGAATTAGACTGCCAAATGTTTCGTGTGTAAATCAACACCTTTTGAGAGACATTTGAATTCTGAAGATTTTCACACTGAACCATGTTAACATTATATTCGGCTAAATTTTTACATAATTTATTGTCCACAGAAAAATAATGTCGATTTACTTTCACTTATTTTTATGAGGAATTAAAATTCATTCAATATTTTTTACAGTCTACAATCTCACTTGTTAAATTTGCCATCGATTATAATATTATATAATATACCTTATTCAGCAGAAAGAGCGGAGATTTCTCCCCTCGACTAATATCCCCCATTACTCAGGTTCTTTCTATCATTATGTATACTATACTAACTATAAACTCAAAAGTACAATGATGTATAATAGAGAAAAAAGCCAGGACGCGTCGAGGTTGAATCCCTAAACAAAGTTGATACATATATAGTGTATATGGAGACCTTAGCACCGTAGCTCACGCGACGAGGCCTCTTCTTTCTCGTTACTACTCAAATTATGTTACTGTGCCAAGGTTTGCCCTTGGTAGTGTATCCACAATTATTTTCGACTACGCGAGTATGCACACCATGAGTCAATCAATAATATAGCTAGTCATGAAATATTATTATTTAATACTTTGTGTAATATTGATGTAAATTTTTGCATCATTTCTTTCTACGTGAAATAAATTATAGTAGTTTCAATCGACAGGTGAGACACTTGACAAATTAACTTCCCTCACATTTCCAACGAACTTATCACAATCACTTTCTATTAATTCAATGAATTGTAATATTCATAATTTATAAAAATTAAGTTTGCGACCGTTATTGTATAGATGAACATCTGCTCATCATCACCGTTCTGAACTATAGAAAAGCATCCGAAGAGGGGGACGCCCTCTCAACTACACTGACGATTTTTTTTTTCTTTTTTTTTTCATATTCATTCTTGCAACTGAACTACCCTGAACATCCAATAATATTCACATCTAATAAATAGACTCTTACGCCGAACAATACTAAAAAACATATCTAGCATGTAATTTGTTGAAAAAAATTGGGGGCTACTCGTTTAGGTAAATGATAAAGCTATTCTGAAAAAAATTCAGCTCCTTCAAACCGCATATTGGTGTATCCTTTTTATTCCTAGCAATAACTCGTGTTCAATGGTCCAAAACAAAAAAATTCCAACTAATTTCATGAGTTTTTGTTGAATATGTCTCCTTTTCCTTTTTCCTCTCTTTAGACATAACACTTTGGTACTCAAATTTTCATAAGAAAAAAGAAATAATGATGATTTTTTATCCTCATAGGTGCTTCAACCGAATAATGAACAGTCGCATTGGAAAATGAGTAAAGAAGTAAATTGATGAATCGTATCGAATTACGATCTCTTTTTTACATAAGAAGAATAAGAAGAAAAGATAAAAAATGTATTGGACGAAATGTATTTGTGGTGAGAGAGAAACAATGCATTTTGTTTTGATGCTGATAAATTATGAAATGAGATGAGGTTATTCGATTGTGAGAGGTGAATTTGATTTGATCATGGCAGCGAATGAATTGTCAAGTTTCGTTTTCGTTCTTTCCATGAATTAACAAAAGTGCCAGAAGTTTGAATGATAATGGTGAGAAAGAAGTTGTGAGCTTCTGTCGGAAGGAGTGTCGGAAGAAGGCTGGCACAACATGCGTTTGGAAATGGTTAGAAGATTAAATAAATAACAATTCCGGAAAATTGTGGCGGATGGTAGAGAAAGAATTCAAAGTGTGAAAAAAACAAAAACAAAAACAAATAAAAAGTAGTAATGCCTTATTAATGGTTGGATTTTTATGATGATCAACTACAAGGATTTAATTTGGTCAATGTCGAAAATGGCTGACAAAGGAGATGTAATAGATCATCAGCATCGTAAGCGACAGACACGTTTACGCATACTGTTAAATTTGCACGATGTTGCTATTGGGATTGGTCTTCTCTTCTGTCTCGACAAAATATTGCTTTGTAATGGGCAAAAACCAATTAATCTTGGTGGTGTGAAACGACGTGACGTTTACATAGCTGGTTTCTTTCCATATGGTAGACATGTACCTGAAAGCCATATTGGACGTGGTGTTATGCCGTCTGTGAAGCTGGCTGTGGATCATATCAATGACAATCCAACGGTATTAAGAAATTATCGCTTACACATGTGGTGGAATGATACTGAGGTGAGTTTTGTTTTTTCCGCTCTGTTGTTATTGTTACTACTACTACTACTATTACAATTACTTTCACTCCAATTTTCAATCAATGTATTTTTTCCCTTTCTAATAATATGTCCACCATAAAACAATGGCATTGACGAAAACTTGACTACGGTGGCCATTTCTCTACGCACTTTATTAATTATTCTATCAATGAAATCAATCACAGTAGAATGGCTTACAATGAGAGCAGTCGTGATGATTAATTAATAAAGCGTGCTCAATTCACTTTGGCTTTCAGCCGCATCGTGAATAATTACCTATGTGAAAAATCATTCTATTCTAGTTATTGTCCCAGAATTTTTTTTTTTTTTTCTATGAAATTAAGCAAATAACTCTCAACAATGAGAGTGAATCAACCCATTGACATCCATCATGTTTACATTATCCGCAAAATTTAGTAGGAGGTTATCAATGAAGTATACTGGCTTAGAGCTATTCAATATGAATACGAATAAATATAGCTACTGTAGCCAAGAGGTGCGCTTCTTCATGGACATATCAATTGATCCATCATATATCAAGAAAAAAGCTATTATTATAATCATTATTAATATCTCTTATTCCATGTTTGGATTGTAAAATAAAGAGTGAGAGAGAGAGAGAGAGAGAGAGAGAGAGAAAGAAAGAGTTGAAGAAATAAGTGCAAGGTTGGAGGAAAAGACGTGGCTCACAGTTAAAGTTGATACCCTCTTAACCCGGTTCTTTTGTTCCTTCTCCCCATCTATCCTATAGAGATGAAAAGCAACGGAAAGACAAGAGAAAAAGAAATAATAGGAGATCGAAGGAGAAGTACATAGTTGCAAAGTATTGAAACGTCCGATTATACTTACATTTTTACAATATCACGTGAAGATGTTGAATAATTCAAAACGTTTACAAGAAGGGTAAGGGTAAGAAATTGCAAAGTTTCTTTCATAAGCCATGTCTATCAATGGAATCCTTAATAGAAGATGTAGAATAAAAAAGATAAGACAACACAAATGTTGAGGATCAATTTCTGACTGACCTGGTCGGGAAGGTAGTTGCGGCAGATTTGCACAGTAAACAAAGTCCGTCCAACTCCTTTCCGTCTCGGCCCGTCGGTTGCTACTTCATATGACTATGTGTGCGTATAATTTTCGCTCTGCAATAAATTTTTTTCCCCTCCGGAATGTAACATTGAATGAGCATCTTTTGCCGTGGGAATAGAAGGGAAAATGAGCCCAAATACTGAGTGGAAAAAATAAGGGAGAATATTTGAGGGACTCACCACCGTCCTCGATATTTTTTGAATCATGATAAAGCCTTCACGGCGAGCAACCCTCCACTCACTATCGCCCACATATTTTTTGGCATTGCCTTCCCCTTATCACTCCCATATCCTCTTCTTTCTCTCGAATCTATATCAAAACAATGATCAATTACACAAATCGTTTTTTTTTTCTTTCTTTTTTTTTTTCATTATCTCAGGCATGTACTTTAGTGTGATAAGAAATGGATAATGTATATGAGAGTGGTACTGAAGAGTCTATCATTAAATGATGAATATTCAATAATTGGATAGCTAAAGGAAAGGGGAATATGACGAGAGAATCATAATTGGCTCTTCAGTCAAGTGCTCAATTCACTTTGGCTTTCAGCCGCATCGTGAATAATTACCTATGTGAAAAATCATTCTATTCTAGTTATTGTCCCAGAATTTTTTTTTTTTTTTCTATGAAATTAAGCAAATAACTCTCAACAATGAGAGTGAATCAACCCATTGACATCCATCATGTTTACATTATCCGCAAAATTTAGTAGGAGGTTATCAATGAAGTATACTGGCTTAGAGCTATTCAATATGAATACGAATAAATATAGCTACTGTAGCCAAGAGGTGCGCATTGTAGGTCAATTAACGAGATAAATATCCAATAATAATCCATCGAGTAAAGGAGAAGGAAAATTTGAATGCAGTAAATGGTGCATTATTTCGAGTTACAAGTAGAGTTTATCGTTTGTTCAATTCAACCTCTATATACGCCCACACATTAACTTCTACCATCAACGGATACCAATCACCGGTGTGCAAGCAAAGGAGAAGGAAGAACACTAGTAATATTGATGCGTACGGCGAGCCAAATTGCATTTCGATCATTATTCCATTGTACACTAGAAATGCAGTGTAGTTAATTTTATCAAATTTTTTTTTTTTCTTTTCCCTATGAAATTATTTTACACTGTGTGCAAGGGGAGTATAGACTATTCTGTAGGACGAATAAAAGTGGAGAAATATTGAACAATTTACCGGGGTCAAATCGATACAATAACAGTAGATATGAAAAGGAATAAGATGCTATTTGCAATGGGCTTGATGACACTAGAATCCGTAGTTAATGGTATAGTCAAAATTTATTTATAAGACATTTTTTCATTAGAGAAACTGAGATGTATTGGGATGTAAATTTTTCATGTTTCAGTGTAATGCCGCGGTCGGTGTTAAGGCGTTCTTCGATATGATGCACAGTGGACCGCACAAGGTCATGCTATTTGGTGCTGCTTGTACACAAGTAACGGATCCAATTGCCAAAGCCTCTAAGCACTGGCGCCTCACACAGGTATACAATATTTCCGCATATATTTTAATTGCCTTATTCTGCTGTTGAACAGCATTTTATACCATTGAACTTGTTGCTTCTAAATATATGAAGATGGTAGCCTCAAGTGCTATAAAATAACATGCACTCTTTCTCTGTATTTCAGCTAAGCTATGCTGACACTCATCCCATGTTCACGAATGATAATTTTCCAAATTTCTTCAGAATAGTACCATCAGAAAATGCATTTAATGCGCCAAGAGTGGCACTCCTCAATCATTTCAACTGGACGAGAGTTGGCACAATTTACCAAAATGAACCGAGATATGCACTCGTGAGTTTACATCTATTATACTTCATTATCAATCAATCAATCAATCAATCGAATCAATCAATGTCTTTCTCACGTACAATTATTATTATTATTATAACTCTTCCTCTCGTCGATTATACATTCCAGCAGCTTTATCACAACGTGCTCTCTTTCTCGGTAATAACTAACAGTTCTCTACTTACAGTCAATCTCTAAATTATACCTATAATGTGAAATTAATAGAGGAGATAAAAATAGTTGATATGGGAATGAAAGAAATGATTTTCTAGCCGATATATTTCGAGAACAGACAACTCAATTTCATTTTAACGTAAATCCATCCAATAGAGAAAGGAATAACATTGAAAAATGGAACATTATCGGAAAGCGAGGCTATTCGATTACAGTTGGTTTGGTGGGTGCTTTACAATCGAAATATGTTGACGAGGCTGTACGCTAGCACGCAATATTGATTTTACTCGATTCTAGAATGTTAGCATCCACAACTACAGTGAAACATTGTTTCAAATATATATCACCTATGAATTAATTTCTCCATTAGTCTAAATGAATTTTTTTTTTATCATTACTAAAATCAACAAATAGATGCATCTAAGTAGAATGAAATATTTGCCCAGAATACCACTCAGTTGGAATGTACTCGATGTAGAAAAAAAAAAATAACTCATGTTCTCATTCTCAAGTATACATTTCTTCAGTGATGATAAGTAGAGTGACCGAGGCATCAGTCAGACATGATATACTCGGAGTTTTTCATATTACCTTTCATCTCATTCGAAAAGAAGAAAATAATTATGTGTGAGATAGAATTCAAACGGTTGGTAACTGGCGAAATTAAATTATCAATGCAATTATATGTATATATATATATATATATATATATATCTATATTGATATTAAAGGCACACAACCGACTCGTCGCAGATCTCGATGACAATAAACTGGAAGTAGTAGAAACGCAGAGTTTTGCAACTGAAGTGAGTGCAGCCCTTGAAAAACTCAAACGGAAAGATGTCAGAATTATAATAGGAAACTTTAATGAAATATGGGCAAGAAGGATTTTTTGCGAGGCTTATAGGTATGGAAATTTATAAATTATAATCAACGTTATTAATAAAATAGCTAGAAAAAAAAAAAGAAACAGGCAACACCGACGGCACTCATGCATTTGTCCAGATACAGAATGTTTGGACGGAAATATCAGTGGATGATTATGGGCACATATACAGAAAAATGGTGGTTAAATGCGGATGGTGGATGTGCCCCATCTGAGCTCGCAGAGGCTCTTCATGGCGCCATTTTAACTGACCTACTTCCACTCTCGACTGAACGCCAGATTACAGTTTCGGGCATCGTAAGTGTTAAACTCAAGGAGATTTCCAAAATCCCATTTCAAAGCTAATCAGATAATATAGCACCAATCCCCGCTGATAGTCAGCCAGTATGGATTGCGTTGAAAATAGGACATATAAGAAAATTATTCCGCGGCGACTGATAACAACTCTACAATTTTTTTTCAAACTAAATGATTTCACATTAATTTAGTGGGTCTTGAGACGCAATTAAAATGGAATATAATATTTTTTTCAGACACCAGACGAATATCAAGTGGAGTATGATTCCCGCAGGGGGAATGAATACTCACGATTCCATGGTTATACGTATGATGGTATTTGGGCAGTTGCCCTTGCTATTCAACATGTAGCTAGGAGAATACGACACTTTAGGAGAAATCAGACTGTCGCTGACTTCAAGTATAGAGATTCACTTTGGGAGAAGTTGTTTCTCGATGCATTGAGAAACACAAGCTTTGAAGGAGTTACGGTTGGTTTACTCGCAATAATATATATATATATAAATTTTTTTTTTGCGTACTGAATTCAAGTTTTCCTCATACTTTGATTCCAGCTGTCCTACTTGTTTTTAATGCAAAAAAAAATTGTAATTTTAGGGTCCTGTTCGTTTTTATGACAATGAGAGAAAAGCCTATATACTATTGAAACAGTTTCAGAGTAAGTGAAATTTTAGACCAGTTTCAATGATTCAAAAGAGAAAAAGAGATTGCCGTAATTACGTCATCTTTTGCAGGTGGTAAGGAGGTTAAAGTTGGCGAGTATGATGGTGTCACTGGCTCTTTGGATTTCAGTAGAGGTCAACCCTTGATTTGGCGCGGGAGATCACCCCCCAAGGACCGTACTGTTCATGTTATCGAACACTCTACCGTTAACATCACAATTTACTCAGTTATTGCATCGGCAGCTGCTGTTGGCATTGTTATGGCCGCAGTATTCCTTGCTATCAATATCAGATATAGGAATCAAAGGTAAAAATCATTGATAAAAATATAGTATAATATATATGTAATGGTAAAAGTGGATATAGTGGGTGGTTTGTCAAGTTAGCATCTCAAGTCCTCCTCATCGATCGTAACGTTACACGGTTACCTTCCCCTGAGGGAGTTGGCTGGCTTGTTTGTCCGCGCGTGATTGTTTAAAGTTGGAAGGGAGAATACCGAGGGGTTCATGTGTGTCTCGAGCACGCGCGATCTCGCCCTCTACATCAGCTCATTTCGCCAAATTCATGTTTTTTTTTCTTCTCCCTCCCCTCCTTATCCTCATCTTGCTTTATCAGAGGTACCATTGAACATTCAAGATCGACAATTTGCACTCAAGTACTCTTATTCCATCCACTAATTAAAATGTCAATCTTGAGAGATGAATTAATTCCAACACTGCAAAGAGGTTTCATCTTTATAATGCGGAGGAAACGGATAAAAGAAAATATAGATAATTAACAGTTTATTTGTTTCTGTTTTTCAAGGTATATAAAGATGTCATCGCCACATCTGAACAACCTCATTATCGTTGGTTGCATGTTGACATACAGCAGCGTTATATTTCTCGGTCTCGATTCGACTCTCTCAAGCGTAACAGCATTTCCCTACATTTGCACAGCGAGGGCGTGGCTTTTGATGGCTGGTTTTTCATTGGCATTTGGGGCTATGTTTTCAAAAACGTGGCGTGTACATTCTATATTTACGGATGTTAAGCTCAATAAAAAAGTAAGTGATTGTCATAATCGAATCAATGTGTAAAACACAACTAGTTATGCAACATTAACAACTCTTATCAACTTTATAGGTAATAAAAGACTATCAACTTTTTATGGTTGTCGGTGTTTTATTGGTCATTGATTTGGCAATAATGACGACATGGCAAGTTGCCGATCCTTTTTACAGGGAAACCAAACAAATGGAACCTTATGTAAGACTTGATCGACTTGACAACTTAGCAAATGAAATTGATTGATTGATTGATTGATTGATATATTGATTTATTATAATGGCATTATTATATTTCAACTATAGCCACATCCATCAAGTGATGATATAATGATGATACCGGAGAATGAGTACTGCCAAAGCAATAGAATGACCCTTTATCTTGGTAGCATTTACGCTTACAAAGGTCTTCTGATGGTGACTATCAATACAAATTTATGAAATAGGATGAAAAATATCAGGCAATATCAGAGAGCATTTCATTTTTTTTTCTTCTTTTTCAGATATTTGGCGCATTTTTAGCATGGGAAACACGACATGTTAGCATACCAGCACTCAATGATAGTAAATACGTAGGAATGAGTGTTTATAATGTAGTAATAATGTGTGTTACGGGTGCAGCAATCAGTTTTGTACTTGCTGATAAACAGGATACAATGTTCATAATGCTGTCGATATTCATAATATTCTGCAGTACAGGAACTCTCTGTCTTGTATTTGTGCCAAAAGTGAGAATATATTATCTCTTAATTTATCAGAGATTGATGGCGCGCGAGTGTTGCCAGTCAATTTACTCTGTATGCTTCATTTTATTATTACAGTTGATCGAATTAAGAAGAAATCCTCAGGGAGCTATTGACAAAAGAATTAGAGCAACTCTGAGACCGTCCTCAAAAACAAGACGAGACTCAATAGTTAGTGAACTCGAGGAGCGTTTAAAGGAGGCAGCAAAGACTAATCAGAAATTTCGCAAAGAACTCTTGGAAAAAGAATCAGAGCTTCAAGTAAAATTGTCTTTTCAAATTGTAATTGAAATATGTATATGTGAAAATATCAACAATAATTATCCATTAATTTTAGATGTTTATGAGGCGATTGGGGGATGAGACAGGCTTACAAAACACTAAAGAAGCCATAGATAAAATTACAATTCCACAAAATCAGGAAACACTTATTAGAAAAGAGGGTACGTGAGTCACACATTTAATGAATATCTCCGAGAATTTTTAATTCAATAAGTTAAAAAACAAGTAAGTGAAATTTATATTTCAGGTCCTTCGATGGTAACTGAAACGACCGATATTTCAATGTCATTATGCAGCTTAAATTCCACAACTGTATCACAACCAGAGGGTGAATATGTTAATGTCATGGCAATAGATGATCAACGGCCGATAACAAAGTAAATTCAATTGATTCAATTGATTTTTATTGCTATTGCTATTGCTATTGCTATTGCTATTGCTATTGCTATTATTAAATATATAATAATATTGATCAACTATTAAAATTTCTAGAAAGTCAACATTGTCCGGTAAATTATCAGAGGATAACAAGCAAATCCCGACAATTTCCAATGCAACGAATTCACCTCTCCCCCAATATAAAAAAATATATCAAAATGAAGAATATCAAGAGAATGAACCACTCATTCAGGAGAAATCGGCAAATGATGCTTTATTGAACCTCACTAATACAGATATTGGTAAAGCAAATATTGACTTTGTAGGAGAGACCGTTGAAGAGTCTGAAGAATCTATTGTACTTGAAGAAATTGATATACCGCGTGATGAAAGTAGCATAGTGATGAAAAAAGTTAAAGAAACAACGATTGATAAAAAAAAAAGACTTCCCACCCCTCCCCCACCCTCGAAAAATGTTTCATTTGGTGAATTACATGAACAATGTTATCTTGAACAAGCTATACTTCCACCGCCCGTTCAGTTTGTACCTAAACACCGACATCAAATTCATCATCAAACATTAACAAAGCGCAGAGCATCAGTGAAAAATAATGGTCTCGCTCATTCACATCATCAATTGTTTGAAAAGCGTCGAACAAGTGTGCCAGTAAATACAATAAGTTACATCTCAACTGACAATATTTCAAAGACAGAAGGAACTGAGGAACAACATAGTTATGTAATTGGTGAATGTGGACATCGTAGAGTGACAGGTTTTACAAATAATACGGGCTATCGATGCGAAAAACACGGTGGCAATGCTACTGCCAATCGTGGATATACAACATCTAATGGTTCAACGGAAATAGTGAAAAAATATCGTGATGGAACTCTCAATGCAAGTTATTCTGATACAGAAAAACATGATGATTCAATAGCAACAATTATTCATCGCTCAGTTTCCGAAAAATCCCGGGAAAAATGCCTCCGTACTCGTGCTAATTTGGCTCACGTTATAACAGAATGCCGTCATCGTACATCCTCTCATAAGCATCATGAGTGTCGGCATACAGAATCAAAGCTCCGTCATCAAGCTAGACTTGAATATGTACAAAGTACGCCAAATGTTGCAACAATACATAATAGTAAATTTGCCAGTGCTAATCCACGTGGCGGTGGTGGTCATCATCGTGGTCATAGTAGTTGTGGTGGTGGTGATGGTGGTACTACTACTGCTAGTGCTACTGCTGCTACTGCTGCTGCTGCTGCTGCTACTGCTACCGCTGCTAGTAGAGTGGTTGTTGGGGGTAATGCAGTGATGAGAGGTGCCAATGGAGGTAGTTCAAGTGGTGTGAGTGGTGGATCGACTATCGATATATCCAATATGTATAGTGCTGTCTCGGATGGAGAACTCCTTGACCTTGAAATACTGCCTATATTTCAAAAATTACTGACAGAACGTCATAAAACCACTACACGTGGTGGTTATGGTGCTAATATTGCGAGCTGTCCTAATATATCTATCAAATGTGACATCGTTGAATATCTCTAACGATTTCAATTCATCTGGAAATTAATAGTTACTCATTATTTCAACTACAACAATTATAAAACCCAAATAGTACAACATTCTTTTTATTTTATTCCTTGGCGTCGTTTAATCACGTCAAAAGTGTCAATTATGTAAGCCGGAAGGTGTGTGAAAAGAAAACTTTTGAAAGAATGAGAGTAGAAGCGAACAAAAAAATGGATACTACGCAACACGAATATACATACATCAATACATATAGCATATAAGTAAACACTTACTCACTATACGTGAGTTACTTTCATTTATATTGGGAGCAGGATATTTCTCGAGCCTAATGAAAAATGTCAGACTTTTTTTTCTCAATCTTTGGATAGAAATTTCACATAATGTGTCGTACAATCTCTAAAAAATTATTATCATGAAATATTGATAATATTATCTAGGGTATCTAACGGATTTCACAGAGAATTATGATGAAATTTATTACATAGTATTAATGAATAACAAAAATTTATATTGGAAACTATTGATATATTGAATATTTGGATAGAATTCGCAAGTGTAATGAAGTGTTGGTTATAATCACATTTTTTAGTTTTTTGTTATTGCAAAACTGATATCCTATGGAAACATAAAATATCTCTTGTCGGAAAATTGTTAAGAATTTAATAGATATTTATAAGAAAAAAAAATTGAACAAAAAAAAAACAAAAAAAGAATCTTTCAATATAATAAAACACTGTTTACCAAAAAAATTAAAAAAATTAAAAGAAAAACAAAATCGCTTAGTGAGAAATTTGTATGAATGTTAGCTGTATATTTTTAGCTAAGACATTCTCAATAACCATTGGAAAATGATTAAATTGATTAGATAAATGAAAAATAAGCCGATCGATCAATCATTTCTCAAATAAATTTTTCAAATCAACGGGAACATGTAACTTTCTATAAGCTCTCTAAACGTGATGTTAAAATCTTAAAAAATCCATCTTCTATTTGACTCAATGAATATAGGATTTTCAATATTTCGTATAGAAAGCCTATAGTTTTTCACTACTTCACTGATAATTTTGCAAACACTCGAATCGAAGAAAAAATCTCATATATAATTTTTTTGTAAATTTGCATAATATCGTTGGAGATGTTTGTAGGTCTGTAAGCCTTGTTCATTCATTTTTTCTACTTCAGAAAAATTATATTAAAAAGCAAAAAAAAAACAAAAAAAAAAGTTACTGATGAGCTAAATACGTTATTATAAAAATACGGTTGGTCGCGTTGTATTTCACTGGAATGTTCTCCGTATAAATTATAATCTTTTGGTTTTCAAAATTGATTTTTTTCAAAAAGATACAACAACATAGTAATGAAATCGGAAGCAATTCAACATTTTCATTGAGAGTAAAAATCCTTGAGAATCTGAGATGCAATGCAATCTGCAAAAAAAAAAATCATACTATATATTTAAGAATGAAAAACCAAAATCAATACAACAGTGAAAGGAAAAAGAATGATATCATATTTCCAAAACACGACGCATTCTTGTGATACTGTTAAGTTGAATTTGTACAAGTACCTATTACATTGTTATCACGATCACATCGCAATACATATATGTTTATAAATATGTTTAATTTAACAGAGAAAAAAAAAGGCGGAAAAATTGAAATGTCTGTAGAAGTGAAAGCAAAACAAAACCGGAAGAAACAAAGAAAAAAGCAGTTTACTAAAAAAAATAACTAAATAAATAAATACTCAATAAAAAGAATACATGATTTTGTTAAAATTTTGATTATTAACCCCTCCAAGTTCAAATATTATTTGCGGTATTGTCAATTTCAAATAAAAGTCATATCGCGATAAGATGTAATCATGGACGTGATCGACTACGTGATGTGATAATCATTCATGAGAAAGAATCATTGAAACAATCAATGATTTGTGACTTGGAATAACACGATTATCTATTATTCCCTATAATCCGCTTTGTCTCTTATTTCCGCTACTATAAATTATTTACAAATCCAGTCGCTCACTTACATTCAGAGTAGGTTTACCGTCAGTAATAGCAGATAGTACGTGGTTCCCTTAATAATGTCATACACAACCATACACTTGACGTATACACTTGAGGAAGTCGCCGGCCACAATGGTAAATTAGACACTGGGCTATGGATTGTAATCAAAGATATTGTTTATGATGTCACGGAATATGTGAATAAGGTACGTGTGTATTTGAATGAATATTTCCCATTGAAAATATTTATGCGCAGAAACGACAAAAGATGCATTTTAGACACATATTATTTGTATCTAGCACCCAGGAGGAAGAGAATTAATTCTTGAATATGCTGGGAAAGATGCCACTTCAGCTTTCAATGATTTCGGTCACTCATCAGATGCTATTACTCTCCTCAAACTTTATAAAATTGGCCAACTCACTGAGGTTTTAATCAAAAAAAATATTTTTACTTTTTTGTTTTTCTACTTTGTAATTATGTTTGTTCACCTTTTTTCAGAATGCAAGAAAAGGGAGCAAAGGAACAAATAAAACGAAACGTAAAAATCGGCTAATTTTCTTCCCACTATTCCGAAGCTGTTCAACATGATCTATCATTAATTACGGTATTTGTCTTTTATTTATTGATTTATCAAAAATGAATGTTTTTTATTTTTTATTCAGACATATGAACTACAACAATACAGTATTGAGAATATTTGCTGAAAACAAAAAAAAACGGAAAAAGAAAACAAATTATATCCAACCACCCATAACACGACCAGTTGCTTTTGATTTTCCCCGAGGTTTTGTTTCCGGCGAATCAGAACTCTGTTTAGGCTCAACATCTTTTTTGACTTCTACTTTTGTTGGTGGCGGTGCATCTTTCTTCTCATTTTCCATTTTAAGTACAACACTTTGTTTATTTTCTGCTTTGACATTTACATCGCCATCTTTTTTCTCTAATGAAGTGAATTCTGTATTATTACTATCATCCTCAGGATCTTCAGGTATCGGAGAAGGAATAACTCTTTCAGCATCCATTTTATCCTGGCTATGAGTGGAGATTGATTTTTTCAAGACTCCACGTTTGATAGATTCACTAGTTGCAGAGCTTAACGATGGTGCACGACATACAGTATCTGTGACATTGATTCTGACACTTGACCTTGGTGGAACAGTTGGTTTAGTTGTAGTGTCATTTCCTGTTTCAGTTGTACCTTGAAATGAAAAAAAAAATAATGATGATGATAATAATAATAAATAATAATAATAATAATAATAATAATAATAATAATCATAAAGTTGGAAAGAAATTATTAATATTTTTGGATTGAACCTGTAGCATCGCCATCACCAGATTTGACAGGCGTAGCAGTCTGTTTATTCATTTTGCCCATTATGAATTTAGCATATGCTACTCTAGTAGTTGGCGTAACATCCATCAAATTTGGATTATACTCAATCAATCGATTTGGATCGAGTGAGGCCAAGTCTGAGTCTGGCTGCATTTGTTGCTGTCTACGGAGACTCCTTCTAGTTTGTCGAATGACTGCTTCATTTTTACTACCGATTGGATCAGTGGGAATAGTATTTTGTCTGACAACAGCATTCCAATCTTTTTTAGCATTAGAACTGGAACGTCGACCAATAGCTTTGGCTAATTGACTGAAAACATCTTTTGGTTCTTTTTCACTTTGAATTACTGCGTTTACGATTCCCTCGACTATGCCAATTTGGAAATCTTTTTGCAGACGACGCTCCATTACTCGTCCCTTCTTTCCAGATACTTCTGCCTTTTCCATTGCCGGTGTTCGCATTCCATTTTGCCGCAGTATATCAATCAATTCATAACGTAATGTTGATATATCTTGCCGGATTTCCATTACATCGTCCTCAGTTATACCAAATTCATCTCGTTTTCTCTGCTCAGCTGTTACATATCGGCGCACCAACAGTCGCATAACTGTTTCATGGCGTTCTCTTGCTTTTTCACGTGATTTTTTCTAAAAAAAATTGACATTCTTCAATACTTGTGCCACCAATAATTGATAATAAATGATATACATGACAATTACAATGAGAGACTTGGTTGGTCGTCCAGTATTTCCACATCGAATGATTTTGTTAAAGGTCTTGGCCGTTGGGATCATATTGAATGGTGGCGGTACCGTATCACCATCTTCAAAATAGCTCATCCACAGGTGACTTCTTGCAAATTTCCATTCAGTATCTGATCGTTCCTAACGGAAAATTTCGTTCAATTTTTTTTATTGTTTTTTTCTTTTCAAATTTTCTTAAAAAAAAATTATTCTATTATTATATTATTCAATTGATAGAGAAAGCTGAAAGATGAAATTGTGCATTATGTGTAAAAGGATTTTATATCCTTACCGAAATTATCTGATATGAATTGGACATCATAGCAATGAGCATATTCAGGAGAACAATTACGTTGATAACCGAGTAGGAACCAAACATCAAGAGTGCCCAGAACCTTGTAAAGCTCTTTATTCCAGTCAAGTCAAAAGACATTAGGTCAATCATGCCAAAGCTCGCCCAGAATAGGGATTGAGATGTCTCAAATAAACTATGAATCATTCCAACATTATAAATAATTGCCTATTATAATAATGTATCGTCGTATTGTAAAAAAACTACCAACTTGGCAAAACGTCGCCATATTGAGCAAGCCTTTTCTTGATTATCAAAATCGGGTAGACCAGTTGGTAAATGATAACATTTAGATTTCTCAAGATCTGCATAATACCACATCAACTGATTCATTCCACATCCAAATGCGAATAAAACTAATGTATAGATGAAAAAAAATTTGATAATATCAATAATCATTCGTCCTAATGATATTTGAAGTGGTCCCAAATGGGGATTCACGCTAAATATATGAACGAGTTTTAGAAAACTAAATATCATGCCAGCTGCAAAAGCACCCTCAGAAAGGAGCATGGGATCGAAAGCATCCCACTGATCTCTGGGATACCATGGATTTTCTCCATTCCAATATTCTCTCTGCGTAATAATAATAATAATAATAATAATAATAATAAACCAAATTTGCTATTGTTATTATAAAGAATAATGTGGATTTAATGGAGCACCTGAACCGTGTACCATGCCGTCATTCTAAGAGTTATCCAAATGACATAGAACATGTTTTGAATGAAATCGACAATATTCCATAAATCTGAGATGTATTCTAGCATACCGTCACTCCATAATGATCGTATTTCTCCTATTATTAAACCTGTAAAGAGTCAATGAAAAAAATATCATATAAATAAAAAACACTGCTTGTCCTTTTTTTTAGTTTTCAGTTTTTTTTTTTTTTTTTTTTTTTTTTTTTTTTTTTTTTTTTTTTTTTTTTTTTTTTTTTTTTTTTTTTTTTTTTTTTTTTTTTTTTTTTTTTTTTTTTTTTTTTTTTTTTTTTTTTTTTTTTTTTTTTTTTTTTTTTTTTTTTTTTTTTTTTTTTTTTTTTTTTTTTTTTTTTTTTTTTTTTTTTTTTTTTTTTTTTTTTTTTTTTTTTTTTTTTTTTTTTTTTTTTTTTTTTTTTTTTTTTTTTTTTTTTTTTTTTTTTTTTTTTTTTTTTTTTTTTTTTTTTTTTTTTTTTTTTTTTTTTTTTTTTTTTTTTTTTTTTTTTTTTTTTTTTTTTTTTTTTTTTTTTTTTTTTTTTTTTTTTTTTTTTTTTTTTTTTTTTTTTTTTTTTTTTTTTTTTTTTTTTTTTTTTTTTTTTTTTTTTTTTTTTTTTTTTTTTTTTTTTTTTTTTTTTTTTTTTTTTTTTTTTTTTTTTTTTTTTTTTTTTTTTTTTTTTTTTTTTTTTTTTTTTTTTTTTTTTTTTTTTTTTTTTTTTTTTTTTTTTTTTTTTTTTTTTTTTTTTTTTTTTTTTTTTTTTTTTTTTTTTTTTTTTTTTTTTTTTTTTTTTTTTTTTTTTTTTTTTTTTTTTTTTTTTTTTTTTTTTTTTTTTTTTTTTTTTTTTTTTTTTTTTTTTTTTTTTTTTTTTTTTTTTTTTTTTTTTTTTTTTTTTTTTTTTTTTTTTTTTTTTTTTTTTTTTTTTTTTTTTTTTTTTTTTTTTTTTTTTTTTTTTTTTTTTTTTTTTTTTTTTTTTTTTTTTTTTTTTTTTTTTTTTTTTTTTTTTTTTTTTTTTTTCAACAAGTGTATGAGCTTACTTATCACATAAATCATAACACCGCTCTCAACAAATCCGGGTATGCATCCTCTTTCATGTTTCTTCCATCCTTCTAAAATTTCTCTCATCCAAGCATTACCAAACAACTCAATAGCAAGGTATTCAACTCGTTGTGATGCCATTCCCAAGAGCACTGTTAAGAAATGAAAAATGATATCATGATGAAATTTGAGTTATTGAGATTATTTAATAATCTCAATAACACTCACTTAGAAAGAATGCGTAAGAGGTGGAGTGACAAATAAACTTGACAAAGGGTTTCTTCATGAAAAGTCCCATTTTGGAGGTAGGTGACAGCATATAAATAGTACTATAAACTGGAAACATTGCGCCGAGTTTTCCGACTTTGACGAGTTGTCCAATCATGCTGAGCCGACGAAAACCAGGTAACCCGTCGTACCATATTGCGCCAAGTAGCTGTTGGACATTGGGATGAGCCACAAACTGAAAGGAAAAAAAATAAAAATGATAAATGTCCCGATCGTGACAACTATTCTTCACAAGCAGAATAAATAATCCCATTCAATTACTTGTTTTTGTTTGTACTTAATAGCAAGTTTGAGTCTATCTAGGGTTTGCCTTTCACCTGGCTCCCAATTTTCACCCGTAGGATTATAATTTAACATCAATTCAAGTTCATGAGATGTTCGAGCATGATCAAGTAAAGATGTTGCAAATTCCTGACACTGTTCCTTCAATTCCTAATGGGCAAATTTAATAATTATCATATTTTATTACATTGTACTTACATTGTACTTACATTGTACTCAAATCTGAATTCCTGTTCCATACGACTTAACCGTCGCAATTCCCATGACAATTCGAAAGCTGTCAATAAAGGATCTCGCGATGATAAAGCTATGAGAGAGGGTGATGTGAGGGCACGATAGGCGTTTATACGAGAATGCGAGTGGCGTAGCGAATCCTTTTCACTAGATGTAACGCACTCGTCACAGCCACATCTCAAATCCAAAATTAATAATATCAAAATATTTTTTATATTTATTGTCAATAAAATAGTACGGCAATGTGAATATTACCTGCCGTCATGAGGACTGGGAAGTGTTGCTCCACGATCAAGAAGAATCTTCAGTATTTCATAATTATTTTTGTGAGCTGCTAAAATTAGTGGTGTTATGTCGGGAGTAAAATTTGACGAAGATGAGTCAGTGAATTCCCAACTCTGCAACCAATACATAAATAAATATAAATATTAATGGCTGTCCTACTTGATGGAATAAAATTCTCTTATACTCACATAAGGCTTTCCAGGCTCGTGAATTTTTTCTTCCCAATCCAAAAGCATCTCTACAGCTTCAACATATTCTTCTTTGATTGCATGTAACAAAGCATCCTTCGGGAAAAGAAACATTCATTCATTGATTGATTAGATATGAAATTAAAGAATTATCAGACAGAGCTGAAAGAAACTTGTTACGTTAACAGCAATGCCAAGCTCCAATAAAATTGTTATCAATTCGATATTTTCATTTTCAATGGCAGCAATGAGAGCAGATCGATTTAATGGGTCCACACAGTTTATATTGAGTATCTCTGGATGGCCCTTGTGTTCCTCGAGTAGCCTTTTCAAAAAGTGGAAAAATATATACATATATACGACAACTATTGAGAAAAATAAGAAATAAGAATAATACAAGAGTATTGCATCGATACCTTTTGACGGTTGCACAATCACCGCGTTCTGCACTGAGTAAAAAATGCTTCTCAACGGGGCCGAGTGTGTACTCTACCGGCGGATTAAGTGATTGTACGGACGGCGCTCTTGCTTCATTTTCCAACAAATCTTGCTGTGATTCAGATGGATTCATCTTCTTTCCCTATTTTTTATTCATGAAATGTTGAAATGTTGAGCCTTGTCATTTTATATATTATTATAGAATTTGCACAGTACGATCTTTCACTGTTGTAAACGAGCGCGCTACTGATATCTTTTCAGACCTACATTGAGGTGAATCCTTACGAATGACGTAGTTATAAGTATAGGGGCTGAACTGGATTAAGCACAAATAAACAGCATCAACTACAAAAGTGAATTGATGCTCTAGATTTTTTATTCTGTTGGTTGCTTCTCCCAATGGTGTTTTTTTTCTCATCTTTTCATTGTTGGGTGAATAAGGCAGATGAAAAAAGGAGATGTCGAGCCGACATAACTCTCGGGATTAACGCAATAGGATGAGGGAAAAAGCCACCATCGCGATACAGAAGGTGTTGTTCTGAATGTTGGTTCCGTGTTTCAATAGTTTTTCTTCATTAATATCCTTTTACGATTGATGATACTCATAATGGCATAGTAACCATGCTACAATGAAAAATTACACCTGTTAATGTGATATGATTCTTGCTTTCACAATCCGCCCGGCGTGTATATTACGGACATGTCGAGTCATTATTACTTCAACACACCACAAGCACTTTTTCATCATTTTCTTTCTTCTCCTCTATTTTAATGAGGACAAATATCCCTACAGTATAAACACGTGTGTGACAAAGGGGAAAAAGGTAATTAATCTCCAGCCACTTGTTTTTATTATTTTCTCATATTATTGATTTTGCCGTTTTTTCATTAAATCTATACACTGCATCAATTATCTCGAGACATTTGTTCAGACAATTTAAAGCATTATTCATTTATTAAATATATTAATAATTTGTAAGTATATTGATTAATATGTTTTCAACTGTTCATTGGCACATCTTTCAAGCCGAACAACAAATCCAAATTATTAGTAATAGTTCAGTAAACATTGAATCTTATATAATGTTTTTTCTGTATCTTTGTTTGCCCGTCACAGAATATATGGAAGATTAAATTTCAAATCAATCAAATAAAATATAGCCCCAATATTATACTCTTATGGCTTATATTTCTGCAGAAGAATAAATCAAATATGTGGGAATACACAATTTGATGAATGAGAAATCATACAAACGTCGGCAAAAAAAAAAAACAATTGTCATTGAAAATCACAAAAATCAATGTCTTTTTTTTTCTTTTCTTTTCAATAATTATTATCGGATAGTGATGTACAGAGTCTGACAAGTAAATCATTATGAAGAGCAGATTCAGGGGTAGTCAAAATTGTGGGGCAAATGACAGCGAGTTTTTGTAAATTCAACGTTGGTATCGTTACACTTGTACCAACGGATGAATGTCGTGGAAAATCGAGACTCGACAATCCTCCACGTCCAAATCTTATAATAACATCAGAGCGTCCTCTTGGAGTTCTCGAGGAACCTGAATTCACATTATTAAGATTATTGGCAGAATCATCAGGACTCTCTAGACTCCCCTGATGATGATTACGTCCAAATCTGATGAATGATGAACCCATTTGACTTCGACGTTCTTTTGAATCTGGGCTGTCATCTACGTTTTGCAATCCAGAACGTTTCATTACGTAGTCCAATTCATTGTCTAAACTTGTTTTATAAATACTCAAAGGTGATGAATCAATTTTTAATGGCCTCATTACGGTACCCTTTACTAATACCAAATTCATTGTGATGAGTAATCCATAAATTAATCCGTGATTGATCTGAAATATTCACAAGAATAAAATGAAGCTTGTAAAATTATACATTGATATTTATGAGAATTGGCTATTTTTTTTTTTTTTTTTTTTTACATAT